TCTCTATGAACAGAAGGGCATTGCCCGGAGTCACAGAATCCTGGTTCTGGGAGGAGTCTCACAGGCCAGTTTGGGTCCCCTTTTGCCCTGGCTTTCGCCTCTGGCTCCCAGGCCCTTTGTAGAGTGTTTTTGGAGGTGAGTGGTGTGATGTCCCCAGGTGAGGTCCAGGCACGTCCTGTGTTACACTTAGATGGGGAAAGGGAGCTGCTCCGGAGCCTGCCACACGGTGAGCTGCTGACACAGCTGTACTTGGGTCTCAGGTTGGCGCAGTCAGCTGGCCCCAAAGTCCTGCAGCCCAAGAGCCTGCACCCGCTGCCTGCCTGGGGCACGGGCTCCTGGCTTTCTTGTCTCAAGACCAGAAAGGGCGAGCCCAGGCCAAGGCCCCTTAAGTCCCTTCCACCATCCCTGGCCTATCCTACGCCGGCTGTGGCTGGCCGGTGTCTCTTCTGCTGTTTTTATTTTGAACATACTACATATGAGGGCTTCGCAGACGCTTTTTGGTGAGAGTGGTCCAATAAAACAGAATTGCAGTACAGTACTCCCACTTTCAAAAATGCCAGCCCTCCTTCACTAAGCAGCCTTCATGCACATCACCTTACTCTATCTCACTGGTATTATCTGGCCACCTTCCCATCGCAGGTGAGAAACTGAGACTCAGGAAGAGTCAGAGAGGTGAGCAGGGTCATGTGCTGATTGTGGCGCAGAGTAAGCTGTTTGATAAGCATTAAGGTGAATTGTTAATGAAGATTTTGATTTTCAAACGAAAAATAAAAAAGCCCTTAACTATTGCAGCTCTGAGTGATTAGCATGATTAACTGTAATGACTCATTTCCTCCTCACAAATGTCCCATCATTACCCTCATTTTTGAAGTGAGAAATGTGAGGCACAGAGAGGTTAAGTAACTTCTCAAGGCCACACAGGTAGCAAGCAGCAGAGCGGGGATCTGAATCCAGCCAGCCTGGCTCTAGCAGCCATGCTCTTAGCCACTCTGCCAAACCATCTGTGCTGAGGCACGTCTACAACAGCTCTGTCCACTAGAACTTTCCATGCTACTGAAAATGTTCTGTGCCCGTGCTATCCAAGATGACAGCCACCAGCCACATGTGGCTGAGGAGGGCACTTTAGATGTGGTTGGAGTGGCTGAGGAGTCGTTGAAAGTGGGGAGCAAAGCAGCCCCTCACACCCCAGGGTTGGGCTCTGATAGCCAAATGAGTAGCCAGAAGCTAGTGCCTACAGAGAAACTCATGGCCTCAGAGGCCAGACTGCTCACCTGCCCTAGAAGGAAGGAAGATGGGGAGAGGTGAAGGAGCAGATCCTGTCCCACAGAGCTGGCCAGGGAGGACAGGCAGAGCCAGGTCTCCAGTCCACAGTCCTCATGGCCTGCCTTCATGTCTCTGCTCTCTCCTGTCCCCGTCCTTCTTCCCTCTCCCACATGTGAACAGATAACTGGCTCACATTCTCCCCATATAAGAAGAGACAGATCCTGCCCAGCTTCTGCACACTGAGCCCTGGATCCCACGGCCCCATGGGCAAGGTTAGTCCTCAAATCCAGTCACCTCTCGATCCAGACTTACACTCTCCACTTTGGGGCTTATCAGTGGCAGAGCCTTAATCCCCACCAGGCACTTGGCGCTGAGGCTGCCTCCTGCCCTGCTGTCAGCTGGTGTGTGCGCAGGGAGTGCAGACTCATTTTAATATTGGCTGGAGCTAAACCTCATTAGAAAAGTAAATTTGCTGTAGCTGCAAGAAAAAAAAAAGCAACCCACATAACCCTTCCAAAGCTAAATAGAAAACACTAATTTTGGATTATTTGATGTTATTTGATGCTTCATGCTCCCAGCACCTGGTGCAGGGCCTGGAACACAGTAGGGCTCCGTCCGTGTTGGTGCCAGTGAGCTGAATTTGCAGTGATCTCTGATTGCCCTGTCTCCTTTCAGCCGGAATTAGAAGAGGTCGCAGATTTTAAGTTTTTTTAGTTTCATCAACTTTTCTTTTTGACAACTATTTGCTGATAAATTAGAATAATTTTATTTCACAATAATCAGACATGAAAATATTATTGTTGTTGTTTGGCAAAGAAACTCTCAGAAACTCTGAGGCATGCTAACTGAGGGGTGTTCTGGGTTCTCTGGGCCCGGATGAGGATTAGCCAGGCCCAGCCCAGTCCTGGAGGTGAATCAGACAGGTGAGGGTAGGAGGTGGGGCAGACTGCAGCAATCCCAGTGGGACTGGCTCCAGGGCTGGCCTGGCCAGAGAATCGCTACTCTAAATTCTAGAGCCATCTAGACCCTGGAAGAAAGGAGGAAGGGTGTATAAAGTAAATAAATTAAAATTCATATAGGATTTCCTCTAAAAATAGTCTGGTGAGATAAAGGTTCCCCAATTCATAGACCTTCAGGAAGCCATGGCTCCGAGGGCTCAGTTTTTCCCAAAGTCCACTAGGCTGGCCATGGATGGAACCGAGACAGTACCCCAGAAGGCTGGTTGAGGGCCTGGCCATCAGCCCCACTTCCATGTCCCCTTTTTGGTTTTCTATAGGTCCCCAAAGATCTTGCTGGGCAGCCTGGGGAGAAGGTGCGTGAAGGAGGCTTCTCTTCTTCCTTCTCTCTAAATGCCAGGGTTCCCCAGACCCTGAATCCTTCCTCACCACACTGCATTCCAGGCCTAGGAGGAGTGCAGGGGCCAGGGATGGAGAGAGCCCTCAGTTCTGTGAGATGGTTGAGAGAAAGGGGTGCCCTGAAAATCCCTGCTCCTGACCTCCCAGGCTGCCCCTCCTTGCCTTTGGTGTCTCCCTCTGAAAGCCCCTGCATTCGTCACAGCCATGTGAGAGCCTTCCTCAGTAGAATGTGCACCTGTTCCATGAAGGGGCCTCTTACAGGGGCAGACAACTGCTGACACGGGAATTGGGGGTGGTGGGAAGTAGGATGTTGGCTCATGCCCCAACTCACCGCTCCGCACACCCTGACTGCTGCCCATGTCTCCTGTCCTCTGCCAGTATGCTTCTGTGCCTGTGTTTCTTGTCTCTCTGCCTCTTTCTCTGCTGCCTGGGGCTCTCTCTGATTCTTTCTCTTCCTGAGTCCCTGTCTCTCCTCTCCTCCAGCTCTCAGAAGAGAGGAGTGCTCAGCTATCTCTTCCAGCCACACTTGGCCACTATGCTCACCTCCCCAGAGCCTGGGCTCCTGCTCAGTACATCTTCACATCTCACACTTGCAAAGCTCCCAGCCTACCTCATACCCTGTGCTCCACAACCAGGTAAAGTATACCTGACTTGGACCCCTAGAAACTACTGTGGTTAAATCCAGGTCTCTCCAGAAGTCCAAGCGGGGAACATCTTCCCCTGGAGCCTTTGGTCTCTTCCCTGGGCTCTAGTCCTGTTCCTGGACCTGCCCCTATCACCCTGGCCCAGTTATTTAGCTGCCCCATGCTTTAGGGGGAACAATTAGTACTTGCTCACCCAGAAACGTACATGAATATATATATTCACCCCAGCACATGGGAGCTTCTAGCCTGCCTGAATCTGGAGCTATTCTCAAGCATCTGAGGATCAGGTGTAGCAAGAGAAAAAGCAAGACGCTGGCCCCAGTGCTGAATGAGGCACAAACACATGAACTCCCTGTTCCATTAACCTCAACAGGCATTTTCGTTTCCATCAAAAGGGGCACAGGGAAAATCTCATGCAGTTCCAGAACCTTTGGGGATAATGGGCACAGACTAGGCAGAGGTCTCCTTGAGGGACTCATGGGAAAAGGGTCTTCGTTCCTTAAGCTTGATATTTGGTCCAGTAGGGCCAGAAGTGGTCATTAACTGAGCAGGTTCGGGGAGGAATTGTCTCAATCTATGGCCGTTGGCAGAGGTAACGGGCTAGAAGGCACAGAAGAGAAGTCTTAGGAAACCGTAGAACAACAGTCCTGTGCAGCTGCATGCCCCCACAACCCTAGTACTTAGGAAGCTGCGTGCCTCCCATTTCTACACAAACGCACAGTAGCCTCACAGAGCTAGGCACCGGCACATCCATACCCCATCACTGTAAACAGTGCATGCCAGACACCCCAAGCTCAGGGGCTCACTGGGGACCCCTCACACTGTTACCCATGCAGACAGAGCAACCCCCACCAGTGTTCGGCTAGTAACTGTCAGCAAAAGGCCCCTTTCAGAGTCTGCAATAGAAATGTCTGGAGTTCCTACAAGAAGCCACCCAGCTAGTGCATGTCTGAGACCAGGCCTCACCAGAGGGCAGAAAAGGGAAGGGGTCAAGACCCCTCTGTGTGCATGAGTAGGGCGTGTAGGTCTCTTAGCTGCTTGCTTGGTAGGAGGCTTTCATCCCCTTTCCCTGGCACTGTCCGACCCAGTGGCTTCCTTCTTTCTTCGTTTCTGCCTCAACTCTCAGCTTCCTTTTTTGAAGTTGTATATTCTGACTTCGGAGGGATCAGGACCTCAGGCCTGAGACCAGGTGCAGGAAGGAGGATGGCTCACCCGTCATGCTGCCTTCCTCCTGGCTACAGTGGAGGTTCCACAGACCCTTTGCGGCTCTGGGCCCCTCTGCATGCCCCGCAGAGCTGGGGTCCCCTGAAGTTAACTTAGCAGTGCCCAGGAGCTGCAGGTCGAATGGGGATGGCTGTTGGGGACAAGGGCGCGTATGGGTGGGGGGCACCAGAAACCACCTGATGAGGTGGTGGGGGAACACAGGCTAAACGCCCAGGGTCAATTACCAGAAGCTGCTAAGAACCAGTTCTTCCATTAACCCCATCCGAGGAGGCGGCAGTGCCCAGGTTTTGTTCCGCAGCCCCTTGGCTGCAGGGCCCCCAGCCCAACTCGGTTCTTGACCCCTTTCCAGCTGCCCCTACTGCGCGCACAGCGCACGCACACACACACACACACACACACACACACACGAGCGCGCGCCCGGGAGGACATGGCGTGGGTACTGATGGGGACGCATAAAGGGGCTCTGTGTACGGCGCGGCGCCCGCGGGGGGCGCGGGGCTCCAGGAGCACTGACCTGCGACAACGAGTCCGGATCGTCCCCGGCGCAGTCCATAGCGGGCGGCGGTCCCTACAGCCCGGCCCCAGCGCCCCCAGGCT